AAAGCCATAAATGGAATTAAACCCTTTCACCCTCACCACTACTAAGAACATCAGATCGCTGACGATACCCCAACCCCACTTCCACGTTCACGTAGCAGCTATGCTACCCCCTCTTCTGCATCCGGACGTACGAGTTGGCTATCGAGGAAGATGGAAAAAGCCGATAGTGGCAATGGGAGAGAAGTGCTTCTGCAACTGCTTCGCGATGGAGTTGAGGAGGGCGAGGAGAGCGAATGTGGGTTTTGCGAGTAGGGGTTGGGCTTTGGTTTGAGAGGGTAAACTGTGTGTTGCGATATTATCTGCTATCGTTTCTTTCTTTCTTTCTTTCTTTCTTTTTTGGATTCGACTTCAGGGAGGTGTTGGAGAGTTAATTGGTGTTTGGAGGATCTATAAGATAACGGAATGTGGAAAGGCGTAAGGTATAGTGGAGATTTCAAATCAAAAACTTTGCTTGAATTATAATTCGGTTTACCACATATATGTAAATCATTTACTTGAGATATGAAGATAATAACTCAAGTTTCACGTCAGAAAGGGAGATCTTCTTCAAGTATCTCTCTATTCATGTTCTATAGTCTACATATTGATATGTTTAGAGCATTAAACGCACCAGCGCCTCAACCCCATCATTCAAAGCATTATTTTCATCATCCAGGATCCTAACCAACCCCTATAACAGACAAGTCGTCGCTCAACGCCCCAACAAATGCGCAACGCAGAAGCAGAGACCAGCTCCCTATACACAATCATGACTTTGATGCGAGATCTATCATCATCCCACCAGCCTTAGTCTCCACAATCTCATAGCCACCAGCATTACCCAGACCGTTCGCAGCATTAGCATACGCCTCATCGGACCTATCACACAAGACATCTAGGTCTTGATCAGTCAGAACCTCATCACCACCACTGGTCTTATACACTTGGCCATCTTTCAACAGCAAAGTTTTCCAATCAGCTTCGCTCATGCCACCTTCATTGTCCATCTTTTGTCCCATCGTCTTAAAACCACCTTTTTTGATAACCGCTTTCTCTAATCTGCGCTTGCCTTCTGCACTCTTGAGCAGAGTTTCTTCAACTGTGCCTTTGGTAGCGAGACGGAAAATAACAACAGGTTTGGTTTGTCCGATTCGATGCGCGCGATCCTGAGCTTGTAGATCCTGCTGTGGGTTCCAATCGCTGTCGAACAGGATGACGGTATCGGCGGTTGCAAGGTTGATGCCTTGGCCTCCAGCACGAGTGGACAGGAGGAAGAGTTTGAATTCCGGGTTTTCATTAAACTCCTTGATCTGCTTGCGTCGATCGTCTTGTGCGACTGAGCCATCGAGGCGGCAGACGTTGTAGCCTCGCAGATCTCTGGCATAATCTTCCAACAGGTCCAGTGATGTCTTGAATTGGGAGAAAATTAAAACCTTAGACCCACGGTCAAACAATGAAGGGAGGAGGCGATCGAGAAGCAACATCTTTCCGGAAGAAGTGACGAGTGTTTCATCTACTTCGAGTCCAGAATCCAGTGACCAGACATTGTAAAAATTATGCGGTGAGTTGCATGCCAAACGAAGTTGCATGAGGGGATTGCCTAATTTCTTGCCTGATATCTCTTTTCCTAGAAGAAGTCAGTCACAGTCTTTGGCAGACAAGAGATTGTGTACTTACTGGCTAGATCAATAATTTTCGCCCGCTCGTCAACCTCTTGGCCATCAGCTTTCGCCTCTTCCTCTTCCTTCACGGCAAGCTCATCAGCAAGCTTCTGCTCAAATTCGTCGTCGCTCAAATCATCTTCATCCGAGGAGTGAGCTTCAGCATACGTCTTCTTCGCCTTTGACTGCCGACTCCGGATACTGCCGGCTGGGGTCGAATTGCGGCTGGACTTCACGGATTTGGATTCAGAGGTGGCTAGATCATCCAGAGACTTTCGCTTCAGTGAACTCTTGGGTCTACCTCTCGGCTTCAGGGATGACTTATTGGCCATCATCTTCTCGAAAGCATTCTTGGGGAGCGGCTTGACATCTGAGGCTCCGTTGTCGCGAAATCTGAGGGCAACAGGGCTAGTTAGAAGATTCTTGCTTGCAGCCTTTTCGGTCTTTATGCTTCGATTTTTCTGGGTGGGAATCGGACTGGGTTTCCCCGAGTCTTGGGGTGAGACTGCTGCTTCGGTCAAGCGTTGGATAACCTTGTCTTCTAGATATTTTCGTAAATCCGCTGTCTTGTCACCGATTGTATTATACAAATCGGTCTGCTCCTTCGTCATTGGGGCATACAGAATATACTCTCGCTTCTTCGGGAGCATATGCTCGACATCTGCCTTGACACGACGCAGAAGTAGTGGTTGGAGTATCACATGCATCTTCTTGACGAGCTCCTGCTTCATCGTGTCCTGAATAAATTCCTCGGTTCCTTGCTCATCTTGAAGTTCGCTGAAATCGAACCATGCCTCAAATTGCGTCCAGTCTTTGAAGATATTTGGTAGCAAGAAGTTGAGCAACGACCACAATTCCTTAAGGTTGTTTTGCAAAGGAGTACCAGTAATCAGGAAACGAGTAGCTGAGTAAAAAGACTTCAAAACTTGAAATAGCTTGGAATTCGAGTTTTTCATGCGATGACCCTCGTCCTTCAGCACAGGCTGATTAGTAAATGTCTACATCCAGATAAATGAAGAACTCACGATCATTATGATCTCCCATTTGATCTTGGTGAAGTTGTTCTCGTCCTTCAAGATCATTTCCGGGCTGGTACAGACGACAGGAAAACGTTTGTTGACCCGTCTCGACTTGTCAACATTCTTCTCCATCTCGGATTTGAAGATGCTTGTCCGATGCGGCTTGGTTCCATGATAAAGAAGCACAGGCAGACCCGGTACCCACTTCTCGAACTCTTCAATCCAGTTCGACAAGGTGCTGAGTGGGGCTACAATGAGGAATGGACCATAGAATTCCATCTCCCGCAAATGTGCAATCAAAGAGATAGTTTGAATAGTCTTTCCAAGGCCCATCTCATCTGCCAGAATTCCAGACATTCCCTGCAAAGCGATCTCAGCCATCCATGTCAACCCCTCCAGTTGATAGTCGCGCATCGTGCCACCGATCATGGTCTTGGGTTGCTTGGTCATCTCGAGATGGTGCTCTCCAATTGCAGCAGAGGTACCGTCCATCGTGGTACCCATCCTCCCAAGCGCTTTCGTCTTTCCAGTCAAGATCTTGCTGAAGACTTCGCTCTTCGCGAGCAATTCGTTCAATTCCGTAGCTTTCGTGTCTCTCTCATCTCGTGTGAGTGGCCCAGTCTTCTTCAGTACCCGCTTCTTTCTCTGCTCCTCCCGCTTGTCCGTCTCAGCCTTGACTTTCTGTTCTTCCTCCAGCATAGCCTTCTCCTCTTTTGTGAAGAGGAAATCGGGATTGAGCTCATCTTCAAAGTTATCTTCTGCGGGTGGAGGAGAAGAAGCAGGGGTTGTACTGGGTTCGGATTGAGGCGTTTGAGAACGGGTCTCGGCCTGAGAAGAGGATGGGGATGCCATATTTTTGCTTCAGCTCAATGATCGCAGAGGTATAGCCAAGCTAGAGCAAGGATGTCGAAAGAAGTTCAAGATGAGATCGAGATGGGAGGCTGTCGTCTTGCGAGCCTCGATAGTGAATGGCAGAGATAGATGTCTCCAAGGTGAGGGTAAATTCGGGGAAATTAGCAGGCCTATTCAATATCAGTATATTTGTTTTTCGGTCCAATCTACCTAGCAAGGTGAAAGTAGTACATATCGCGAATGCATTACTCACCGGCAAGAATGTGGCAAATCCGCAAAGCTAGACTGCGGATATCCTCTCTGGCTTGGGAGCAACTGTAAATCTAGCCAAAAAGCCCTAACCAATTGCAATCCCAATTATGACACAAGAAGATGTTACGAATACATATAGGGAAGCGCAGGGGTTGAAAGAGAACGAGGGGTGGGAGTTGCGACGCGTCAAAGAAAATCACTTTACGCGTTGTTGTCGCGGAATTCTTCAAGGTCATGATTCATCGGCGCTGTATTCGGCTTAGTCAGGGGTACTACTGTAAGCGTACAACGTCTCTTTTCGTAAAGGATTTAAAAGATGAATCTGATACTAGAATATTAGGATATCATAGGCAATTACATCTCTTCTCCGCTTGAATTTAATACTTCTGTGCCAAGTTAGATGGGTGATACCGTGAGTGAGGCGTTATTGTTTTCTGATACGCGACACCGCCGTCCTGACATCACAATGGCAATAGCTATTGGCTTTTAATGCCCTGTAGGAGTTAATAATAATTCCGATTCACTTTATACAATTCAATCTATTTGGCCAATCATTCTTTTCTTGCTTTGACCCTGAGAGCTTTCAAGTACCGTAAGCCATATTCAAGCCACCAAGGTGACATAGAAATTATGCCCCTTTCCAGCTAAGCGAGCCCCCCCGTGGACTTGAGGTGAGCGTCGATGCAATTATTATTCCTCTTGTCATTCAACTTGCGGAAGGAAACAATTGTTAAAAGATTCAAAGTCGGCGGGATATAAACGTTGCTATGAGGCAGGGGTTAGATTAGCAAGTATTTTGTAGTATGATTCCTATCTCGGCGCTCTACTTGGAAACTTGGTGGAAATTTGCTGTCAATCACTTTTAGGCTACACATGCATTATCGATGAAGTTCACTCCTTATTTCATCTTAGAAACAAAAGTGAACATATTGCAGCTATGTATGAGGTTAAAACTCTTTGTTACCATTTTCTATTCAAGTTAGACATCAACAATGCAGGTCTATCACTCTCAGTTCATGCCGCTGAAGATTATGATGCAGGAACTGCGATGAATGAACAAAGCAAAGGATATACGTTCACCACTAAGCAATAGACGTTATTGGCTATTATACGTTGTTGTTAAGTTCAGTTCAGACGGTGGAGTCTTGTGTCATTTGCAGTCATTTGTTGTCATTCAGGAGGGGGCTTGTTCATTCTTCATCTGAGGGCTACAGCGGACAAAACAAAGATATACGTCAACAATCATTAATAAACGTTATTGGTTTTTAAACGTTGGTCTTAGATATAGTTCAGACGTTTATTTCAGACAGTTGAGCTTTGTGTTATTTGCTATCATCAAAGAGGGGCTGCAATCAATTTTGTCACGAGTTGAAGGAGCAAGATTGTCATAAAAATCCTCGATTGTGGAAAGCAACGTTAGTACTGATTTTTTGTTTATGTCCAAAGCAACGAGTCCAAAGCAACGAGTCCAAAGCAACGAGTTAAATACCATAACCATTCCATATCTTACACCGCCCCGCATTAAAAACTAACGTAGTATGTCCAAAAGCAAAAAGCAAAGATAGAACGCCTCTTTATCTTACACCCTCCAAAGTAGAGATTTTGATTTGTTTTCGCAGTATGCTCAAAAGCACTAAATGTCCCCTACCCTCCAGAATAGCAAGTTAACTTTTTATGTGAAAAGACAGAATCTACCTACCCAGATCCAAGCATTCAACTTTGACAACGACAGTTGTCTAGTTGATAGCCGAATATCTCCTAGCAACCTCCATCGGGTGAACCTCAATACCAGTCTCTTCCTGGAACTCTTCTGCTACCGTCTCCCATCTGGAAGCCTCGTGCGCCTTGAACAGATTGACTAAAATGACATCATTCTCTTCAGTCCAGTCGATTCTCGGCGCCTCCATCCCACCATCTCGGCGCAGCCGAAGAGGGACGAACCTCAGACCTGCTGCCGCCATCAGAACCGGACAATTGCGACTGTACCGGTTTGCTACGGCGGTGACACTCAAGAATTTGGTCTTGCCTGCTGCAACCCTCTGCTCGTTCAGCACGTCCACGATGTCGCGCCAGCTCATGCCCTGGTTGTCTTTCATGTTGATGAGTGCTATATTCTCGGGGTCGTTGACGCCATAAGCCCGTTTGATGACTTTCTTTCTGTGTGTGAGAGGGAGTCCTCTTTTCAATAAAGAAGCGTCCGAAACACTACTGCGCAAAACGACTGGTGGAACAGTATTGCAGGGCCAAGGTTCAACTCCACCAGCATAACGGGAGTCTCTGCGACCTTCACCAATGTTGCGCCATGCTGGATACCTGGCCCCGTTCATAGCTTCGAATCCTTCGATCATCGAGTCGTAGCCGGAGTTGGAGTTCGCGGTCGATGAGAGACGCCCATCATCATCCATCATATACTTGGCCGGGCTACCGGGAGGGTTGATGATTTTCTCCATGAACGTAGGAACTCCTTCGAGGAAGTCCTTGCTGTCGTAGTTGATGTGGTACTTGTTGTTGTCCTTGTGGGACTGATCACTTGCAAATCGAATTTGTGGGGTTTGGGGTAAGGAGTGTGGACGTTTTGGATGATCGAACATGTTTGGTGAAGAGCCGGCCTGACCAGGGGAATAGTGCTCCTTCTTGAACCGCCCTTCTGCTTCCTCATGTGACATGTAGTTGCTTGCATCGACTTCCATTTCGTTTCCCTCAATGCTCTCGCTTGCATCTCTCATGCCACCCATGCCACGATAAGAATCTTCACGGCTGAAATCACGCACAATGAGCTCAGAACTCGGATTAAAGGATGATAGACCAGTACCGTAACCGCTTTGAGTCTCGTATGCGACCGAGTCTGTCATCGAGTGTTGAATTGGCTTCGGCGAACTCCATGTTGCTTGGTTGTAAGGCTGGTCGGTGTATGATTCTTGGGTGTACGATTCTTGGTTGTATGGTGTCTGAGAACTTGGAGTATGAGGTAAGTCATCCATAGAACGCTCATCCATCTGATACGCCTGGGAACCATACTTGATTTCATTGACGTTCGATACCTCGCGTGGATAGGATCGTGAGCGAAGAGAATATCGCCTCGGCGGTAGCATACCGTGAGGGCACGTTCGTGATCCATACGCTCCTTTCATCACCACCTCTGAGGCACGAGGTTGACGAGGCTCAGATGTGACTGGCGACCTAAGGCTTGGGTGTTTTTGTGAAAGATTGACAGCAGAATGCTCATGCTGGGCATCCTCCGTATCCTCCGCAGACTTCCTCATATCCATACCAGCTCGAGCTAAAAACATGTCAGTTACAGATAGGTGAAGCAAAGGAAACATCTCGAGCATCCAAAATAACGTTACTGGTAGAACTATCTGTGAGTGAATAAAACTCAAGAGTCAAGCCGGTGTACTCGATATAAATTCGTACCTTCTCTGTAAAATCCAAAGTCGTCATTGCCAGAAGATGAATGCTCAGGATCGACAAATGCAGTACCAGGGAAGGTTTCGGTAAGGGTAGCCATTGTGAGACAGTGTATGGATGTATGATAACAACACGAGATGCGATACGGACATCAAATGGATGATGGAGGTGATGTAGTGCTAACTGCCAAACGAAGTCGCTAATAACAACAATATGAATACCAGATGCTCAACTGATGATAGGCATGTATGGAGGAAATTGCTGGAGGAGGTGGGTGTTGTTGTCGATGTCCAAAAAAGTTGTTCGTTCGGATGGATTGTTGGGAGAGAGAAAGAGCGAAACGATTGTACTTAAGGGAGAGAACCGCTGCCTCACTAGCTCGGCTTGATGAGTTCAGTGCGAGTCACTTTTGGAAAGTGAATGAGATTGTAGTGACAATGGATTCACTAAGTCGTTCAGTTGCGGCTGTTGTTGGGAATGCAGTCAGGAACCTGATTGTTGTCAAGGAGAAGACTTCTCAGCTGAGATGCTCAGGTGCCGAAGGTATTGTAGGTGGATTTATTATTGCACTATTTCCCTGTGTAGGCTATCCGAGGGGTATCAACTGAGGTATTTAGCAATAGTACTGTGTGGTGGCGGACGTTGAGAATACTCCAGCTTTGATTGAATCTTCCCCAAATATACAGGGCAGAAAAATTGGAGACCGCACGGTGCAGGTGATTTTCAACATCAATATCTTTAAGAAAGTAAGGCTATAGACCGAGGGACTGAAGCTGAGTGAGATTGGAAATAAAAGCAGTTTAGCATTGTCGAAAAATGGGACGAGCAAAGAAGCTAGTGCCATACGACATTCAATTCAGAGCAAAGGGAACGAACTCGTCAACTTAAGAAAAGAGCAATCACTACTAGCAACAACAGCGTAAAGAAAGCTTGCATCGAGATAAGCCCATCTTCTTGCTGTGAAAAGCAGTGATTGATATCCGGATAAGGAGGTAATCTAGATGAAAGCCGACCATCTCGGTGAACTGATCGAGGGCATGAAATGTGTGAAAAGGTGGCTACTTTATCCGTTCCAGAGCTTGTATAACCAACTATTCCAGTTGACTTTCTGTCTCAGCCTTCATGGATTAGATGTGGACTATCGATGTTTACGAATTGCCACAATAAAAATGACCAACCAGCAAGAAAATCAGGCGTATTGTGAAGATGGTCCTTCCATACAAAAACTTGACTTTAGGTTACTTACCATTTGATTCAATTTATGAAAACACAAACCGACGCCAGTTCTCTCCTAGTATCCCAACACCCTTCTCCAGACTCCACTCCTTAATCTCACAGATCTTCCGACACATTTCCTCAAGCTTCTTGTCCATCTCCTCTCCAGCAATATGGAGATCACTCTCGACCAAAATTCTGTCATCCGGCATAGCTTTGATGACCTCTACAGCTTTGGCGCTAGCTGCTGTGGACATGTTGATGGCCGCAGAAAAAGAAAAGTACATATCTGCTGGAACCGAAGGATGAAAGTATTGTTTTAGAGGGTCCGGTGGTCCGGAGTATGAATGGAGGCATATTCGTGGAGGGAATGGCTTGGGGCTATCATCCACTATCTCTAGTTCCTTGTCTTCTTCTGGTTGTTGTGTACCGGCAATCTTCTTCCGCTCTTTCTTGCTAAGGACTTCCTTCTCGTGGCCCTTCCATGTCTCCTGTAATGTTTCAAATACAACGCCATGAGCTTGAACGCCGTGGACTGAGACTGCTCTTTTCAGCGCTCCAGCTAGTTTCAACTGTGCTTTCAGAACAATTCTTTGGTGGTCTATTTGGACTCGATATGGCGTGAGTTTTCTGCCTTCTCTCCCGCCTCGAGTGAGGGTTTGATCTCTTGACTCCTCTTGGTCCGACGACCATACACCAGGCAGCCGAAATGCTTTGTCCAGACCGATTTCTCCAACAAGGGCTACGGGATACTTCTCTAAGTAATCCTTAGTTTGTTGCAAGAATTCTTTCAACGATCTCGGCTGAGGGAGTGAGTCGAGGAATGCCGAGTCCTCGGGTTTGGGCGTCAGAACAGACTGATAATGCCGGACCTTGAAGTCTTCAGATGTGACATCTGGAAGATCTTTTTCTGTATCGTTGTACATTTGATGGGAAAACCATGGATGCCATCCAAAACAAGGGACTAAGCACTCATTCCCAGACAGGCTTCTTACATCGGATGATGTCTTGAGACTATAAGTATCAGCGACTTGAGCTACAAGTTCCTGATCTTGACCTCGAGTTGCCATGACCGTTAATACTTTGGCTTTCATGCTTGGTATTGAAGAGACAAGACTCATGGTGTCTGTAGCGTGGCAGTGGGCGTCGAAGACGCCCAGATGCCATGGAAAGGGGACATCTTCTGAGGTTGCTGAGGTCATATTGCAACGCACTTAGTCATAAGATCATATCAATCCAATCACCATATCACTAGACGTTAAGGTATGTTCCACAATGCTGAAATTGTCTTCCCAAGTCAAGACAGATAAAATGTTTCGCAAATTCTTGCTCTAAAAAGTTCCGTCAGAAGTTTATCGCCGTGGGAAGCGGAGCAACGCAAGGTTCAGGCAGTTTGTCGCTAAAGATCCCTGAAGCTCCCCACTACTGTAAATCTACTAAAGATTATAGCGCGCTCCGCTTCCCCAGAATAAAAGAGATCACATGCAAGGACAAGCAACCCCTCCAACCCATATCCTTTCTTCAAATCCCACCATTCAACAAAGCATGCCATTCCAGAACCTCCTCCAAAAGAACCAGAAATGGCACTCCTCAATCTCAACCCGCTCTACACCGTAACCCTCCCAATCCTCTTCCTCTTCAGCCTACCCGTCGCCCTCTTCGCCTGCCTCACTACAATTCTCGCCTTCATCGTCCTTCTCTTCCGCGTATCCCTAATCTACATCGATCTCGCTGCAGCCGTGATCCCGTACTACCTCCTCGGCATCACCCCCAATGCTTCTCTCCCTGAAGAGAAAACCGGACCATCCCCAACACAAATCCCCTCGCGCCGACGGAGACGCAGGAGCAGTAGTAATCTGAGCACGGGCTGTTTGACGCCGAATGCCCTGGGAAGCTCCTCTAGCGTCGTCGGGTTGAGCCTCACGCGCGATTTTGAAGGCGTGGGGGGTTGGCGATTACGTGCTGAAGAGGAAGAGGAAGAGGTGTGGACGAAGATTAATAGTAGGCTGGAGTTGCCGGCTGAGCATGGGCGGCGGCATAGGCGGAGTGCGACGGGTGGGTTGGAGATGAGGGGTGGGAAGGAGGGCAATGGTGCAGTCATGAATAGTGGGAGGGCGAGGACGCCGCCTGTGGGGAGGGAGGAGGAGTATGGGTATTTTGTGATGCAGAGGGGTAGGGAGGTTAGTCCGAAGGTGGGGAGAAGGGACGCGAGTGCGGGAACGACGAGTGGTAGTTCGAAGGGGTCGTCGGGGTTGAATATGAAGGGTAGGTGAAGGAAGATGCGGGGAAGGGATTGGTGATGATTTGATGATAATGATAATATGCGGATTTGGCGTTTTCAGAGCACATCGATAAGGATGGGTATGCTAGATCGCCTTGTAGTTTTATGCAAATTGATTATTTCGAACTCCTCAAAATCCGACTCTAACAAGCGCTCTTGAGCCCCAAGATTGACTCAGTGGTATTAGCCTGCAAGCCCCCACTATAACAATCATAAATTATCCATCCAACGCAATGTAACTCCCCCAGTTTCAAAGTCATATCCAGCACTTCCCACTCACAACTCCAACCAGTATGTTTAAGTCCAAGTCCAATTCCCCCGAAGTCTTCACAGCGTATTCCAAAAGTAATTCGCATAAAAGAACCTTGAAAACTTCCCATCCATATTAACAATATGCACATCCCCCTCCTTCCCATTCCTCACGATCGCCTTATTATACTCTCCCCCCTCACTATCCCTCTCAATATCGATCCCCAAGCCGCGATAAACCTTCAACTTGAGTCCAATCTCGTCATCCACCAGTCCTCTTTTCACATTATCGCCTCCTTCCACACCTTGCTGCTCTAGCTCCTGCAGTCGAGATTGCAAGTCAGCGAGTTGCGAGGACAGGCGCTCGGATTCGATTTCCAGGTCGTTAGCTGTCTTTGCGATGCGGAATTTCTGCGTGTCGAGTGTCGCTATTTCGGAGGCGTGCGCGATGGAGGAGTGAGAGGAGATGGTCTCGTTGTGGTGGTTGTTGAGGGTTGTGAGGGTGCGAGAGAGTTCTGTTTGTTTTGTTAGTAGGACACCAAATAATAGATGTAAGAGGGTCGTACTTTTTAAAGCGCTGTCTGCTTCACGAACACGTAGCTCGCGCGCCTGTTGCAAGGTTGAAAGGGATTCATTGATACGAGATACGGCGAGCTTGTCTGGTGTTATGTTAAAGTTTCCGATTGTGTGGTGGATGAGCTGTTTATTGTTAGATTTAGTGGTTGTGAGGGGCGTTTGTTGACTTACTGTTGCGGGATCTTCATCGAGAAGCATTTTGAGTGTATATTCAAGAGCGTCTGTTTGATTTAAGAGAAGCGATGGAGCAATGTGATTGTATTCGAGGTGCGCAAGATGTATTTGAGGGAATTCATGAGTTATACTTAGGCCTCGGTATTAATCCTAATGTTTTCTTACTCGAATTATGGGTCTCGGAAGTTGGCAGGGCAGCAGATGACGTACGGTACCAAAAGATCACAAGCCACAACGCCACATCATCCAAGCTTCCTCGAAACCGTGAACCTCCACACGATCTTTGAAGTAAACCTCGCAACTTCCCTTTAATACTCTTCATTTTTAAATTGTCAGACTCAGTTTAAGAACGAATCTACAATATGGGATCCTCTCTACCCTGTAAGTTATGGATGGCAGCATTCTGGATACCCAACTTCATACTCGTTTTCCGATATTTCCTTACGCCCTCAAGCTTGAGACAGCTATGCTAACACGATATGTGCCTCCAGATGCTGCAGATGCAGAAAGGTCAGCTACATGTCTTTGGCGCATTACTTTGCTTGCAGAAACGCCCGCAAAGCTCGCTATGCTTCGCAGTCTCCCTCGGGCAACTTATACTAACTAGACTTTTAGTCCACTAAAGCCGGCCGAGTTACAAGTCCTACGCGCCCAATACGAGAAAGAGGGTGAACATGTTGGAGTACAGACCAAATTCAACTTCGCATGGGTGAGTGAAGAGCCTGGAGCATCCTCGTGTCCTACAAATACTGATAGTCTGCCAGGGTTTAATCAAATCCAACGCCCGCCAAGAACAACAAGAAGGCGTCCGTCTCCTCTCAGACATCTTCCGCACATCCCCCGAACGAAGACGAGAATGCCTCTACTACCTAGCACTGGGAAACTACAAGCTTGGGAACTACGCCGAAGCAAGACGGTATAACGATCTACTGCTAGACAGAGAACCGGCGAACTTGCAAGCTAGCAGTCTGAGGGGTTTGATCGACGATAAGGTTGCAAAGGAGGGGATGATGGGTGTTGCTATTCTGAGCGGAGTTGCTATTGCTGCTGGTGTTGTCGGTGGAATGATATTCAAGGGCGTAGGAAATAGGAAGAGATGACGAATTATTGCGGGGTACCGAAAGGAGGATAGGATAGGCTATCGGAATATGAATGGTCACGGATTTGTTTAATATACCACCACTCAAGTAATTGTATAATCATGATAAGACCCTTTCGAGCGCATCAGAACTATTGTTCGTGTTCCTACCCTGGCCAGGTATGGGACAGCTGACTCATTCTGATGTTGATGGCTGGAAGGGACTGAGTCTTCTGAGAGAAGCTCAAAGAAGGTCCTGGAAAGGACAAAGACAAATGGATCACATTTGAAAAGAAAAGCCACGAATCATCTTTTAACATAATTGAAAATCAAAACGTTTTGTCTTCCGTATTACGGACATTACAAGTCGACAGCTCAAGTCATAGTAATAAAGTGACAGGGGTCATTAGCGATCGGCCAACCTACATCTGCGTCACAACTGATTGGGAAAGTCCGGACAACCAGTCCAGCATACAAAGTATCAAACTAATCAAGACACACATTTCATTTGACACACCTATACCTCTCTTAAAGTCATTCCGTCGCGAATATACTCACCATATAAATCCTCAAATATCTACTTCCTGAACAACGTGTCGAACCCGAATGCAGTGTATCTACGACCCCTCTTCCTGACCATCCTGCGCGCCTCACCGAGGTCAACCAACGAGGCAGCTTTCCGCTTGATTGCGCCTTGTCATATCCATGTGGCAGGGGCGGAACAGCGGGCAAGGGCAAACAATTTGAGAAAACCGTCTCAATAAGAACCCCCAAGTAGTGGCAACTGTGCCTTCGAAGGCAGCTCATTCACCACGGCTTTCCGATTACTACGCAACACAGGCCTGGCTGTAAGCGTCGGCCTGACTGCCCTCGCTCTTTTACAGGGCGTCCGAGACGCCATGGCCGATGAACCTTCGAGTGACAGAAGTAGACACTTAGATGCTTTAGGGCCGAGAGATGTTGTATATTGCCATCAATGTTCTCATGAATGGTATCAAGATGAGCACGGCCTGACGTGCCTAAGATGCGAGAGCGATATTACAGAAATTGTACGTTCATTCCCGGGGAACGTCTCATATTCCTTTGACAATATGCTAACTGCGATACAGGTCAGTCTTGAGAGCGATCCAAGACCAGGCCATGATGAAGCACCCGAGACTCCTCCAGACTTCCGCGACCTCCATGGGCATGACCCGTGGCAACGTAATAGTACCGATTCAGACCCGGAGGAGGCAGATATTGAGGAGCATGTCCAGCATGGCCCTGGAGGCTCTGTCTTCGTCTCGCAGACTATACGAAGCTCCAGACCGCCGCGGATTGCTTTCGGAACCCGGCCCAGTCGGAGAAATGCACACCCACAAGATGGACCCGATCCTGTTATAGCAGACTTCCAAAATATGGTCAACAGTATGATGGGTCCAACCGTACGACAGGGCCAAACTGGTAGATCGGGGGCTGATACATTATTTTCTCAAGGTCAATTTGGTGGCAATACGTTTCAAACAGCTCGTGGTCCAAATGTTGTTGGTGGACGTTTTACATTCCACTCTGGACCTATTGGACCGAGAGATGCAGATGGTCCACAGCCTGGAGGTCCACCAGTAGAAGATATAGCTACGTACGCTCCAACCCCAAACTCTCCTAACGGCGGGTCCTTGTTTCTTGTTAGTCTTAGAGCCCCCCCTGACCAGCTTCCCAGGCTCATTGGAAATCTCTTCGGTGCTATGGGAGAACCCGCCGGACATGAACACGACCATCGAAGCCCCGGTATGCCCCCAAACCCACTACAAGGTCTATTTGCATCACTACTCAACCCAGCAAATGCCCGTTATGGAGATGCAGTATATAGCCAAGAAGCCCTTGATGAGATCATATCAACACTAATGGAGCAACACCCTACCTCAAACGCACCCGGACCGGCATCCCCGGATGCAATCTCCTCCCTCCCAAAGAAGAAGATAGACGAGAAAATGCTTGGCCCAGAAGGTAAAGCGGAATGCAGCGTCTGCATGGACGATGTAGTTCTCGACGAAGAAGTCGTAATGCTACCCTGTTCACATTGGTTTCACGAGCAATGTGCCTCTATGTGGCTCTCGGAACACAACACCTGCCCCATTTGTCGCAAAGGCATCGAAGGTGAAGCCACTCCAGCCTCCAGCAGCCGCCGTTCCAGCAACAGCCGCCCTGCATCAAGAAGTGAACGCCGCTTGAGCCGAATCGGCCTCGTTCGGCCAAGAATGAGCCGTGATAATACCTCAGGCAGCAGAAATGAAGCTAGGTTAGATGCCATACGCCAAAGCGGCCGCCTTTCCCCTACTGAAGAGACTCAAGGTTCAACGACGACGCCGACTGGCTCGACTAGACGCTGGCAGATTGTGGGTGATGGCAGTAGTCCTCTATTATCGCGGCCCAGAGAAAGAAGCAATGATTCTGATCCGTCGAGAGATATGCCGGGTAGCTTCTCGAGCTTTACGCGGCATAGGGAGAGGCAAGATGCTAGAAGGGAGAGTACCGGAAGGGGCAGTGGTCGGGGTAATACGAGTGGCAGTGATCATTCTCGAAGCTCGAGACGGAGTTCACGATCTGGAGATAGTTCCGGGAATGGACCGATGAATTGGCTCAGAGATCGCTTTGGCAGTGGGAGAAGTCACGATTAGATCCCTTTCACTAATGTCGATCCAAAGCGTATTGAGGGCGTTCGGTCTTTACTCTCCTCTCTTTTGACTGAGCACATGGGCTTTTCTGGGGATACCATTCGTTGATACATGGGCAATTTTACGGAGGAAGCTGTGGCGAACACACCTTGGCTTTCTTTAAGTGCTTGCTAGTAATTGGGACGCTCTGAACACGCAAGTTATCAAACTATGTACGTGTAGATTTTCGTACATGTGATGATATATGCAAGGTATTCGAAATTACAAGTAGGCCGTCAATACAGATACCCGCGTCAATGCCACAGCTGAACCGTGCTCGCCTTCACTCATCGCTTGCATGACCTCAATCATTCGTACTAGAATAATCAGTTAGTTAAAATCATCACGTTGCAACATGGAGAGGGACAACTTACAAATATCACCCTTAGCTCTAACAAACAACGGATCCCTTGCCAGCAAGTCCAGACCACCCTCTTCCTTGACCGTATCCTTAATTATTCCCCCAATACAAAGCGCTTCTAAAAACGCCCTATGATTAAACACCCACCACACCTTCGCCTCAGAATCAAACAGCTCGTAAAACAAGAAGAACGCAGTAATCGCATCATGCGCGGCCTCCAGCGCTCCTCTCGCATTAATCGGAACCTCATCACTCACGCTGCTATGCAACAACATGACATTGTGAAAATAATTACTGGTTAGAAATAATGTCTGGCGCACGATGCGCTTGTTCGTCTGCGTAAGCAGCGCGATGGTCTCAGTGTCCCAGCAGCGGAAGACGTCGGGGAAGGAACGGTAGACGGCGCGGAAGTCGGCGAGGAGTTTTGCTTTCTGGCGGGGGGTTGAGGAGATGGGGAGGTCGAGGGAGCGCGGGGAGCAGATGGTTTCCTGGACTAGGTTTGCGAGGGTCCAGCAGCCGCGGATGTAGGCTGTGTCGGTGGGGTTTGTGTTGGCGATGCTGGAGGCGTCGTCTTGGAGGTCTTCGACGGAGACGTCGGTGTGGGTTGCGCTGGGGGGGAGGGAGAGGAGGACTGTGAGGAAGGTGTCTTGTAGGAGCACGGCTTGCCAGAGTTTGCGCCGCTGCTGCTTGTCGAAGGTGCTCGCGTGCGGGGAGACGATGTTCGGGTCCCGGTGGAGGCCCATGGCGTAGGCTTGGCGGATGAGGATACCGGCGAATGCCCAGCCGTCTGAGGCGTGGTTGTCGTTTATCAGGAAGTAGGTTACTAATACCATGGCTTGGATAGAGCGGACGGAGGCTTTGTTGAGATATGAACTCATCCGGAGAGACTGATGGGCTGCGGACACGTAGAACTCGGCGGTTTGCTGGCGCTCTCGCGGTGAAGTTGTTGTTACGAATTGAGTTCCCATAGCAAGCATGGAGAAAACTAATGCTACAAATGCGGCATCGGCGCGATCTCTCTCGGGTTGAGGCAAGGACCAAAAATGTGTGTAGTCGGCATAGAAGGTTTGTCTATGCAACATAGGGTAAACCGGGTCGACGCATTCGAAATATCGTTCTAGAAGGATATCTGATTGCAACTTTTCTGGAAGAACTGATATCACTTCCGTCAGTCCTCCTTGACATGTCCAGTAATTTGCAAATGGATGTTCAGATCCAATGCCGAAGACATTCGAGGCTGAAGGATGAGAATAAGGGACATTCGAGAGGAGGCCGACGGATGAAGATGTCGAGCCCCTAGAAGCACTCCTCTCATGCGGATGTGGAACTTGTTTCGGTCCTTCAAACTCGTTTACTACAGACTTCTTCTTTGGTGGTTTGGTCATTCGCGTGGTACTATTGACCGTGCGGTTCGTTTCCCTAATGATGGTCAGAAGGTACACCGAAGCAGACTTAGTAACTCACTCTAAAATATTTGCAACGTGGGCATATCTGCATTCGGTTTGTCGTTTTATACCTAAGAGGATTAAATACACTGCTCTGCAATCTGCGAAGCGGGGTTTCCTACATGCAAGACAATGGGGTCGGCCTCTATCACACTGTTACCACTCATTAGTAGACTGCAAGAGATCTTTTGATTTAGGAACTTGGGCTGCTTGGATGTGGATGGCGTCTGCAGAAAGCCGCCGCGATTGGGGAAACAGTGGATATCGCCAGGTTATCTCAACTAGGACAAGGTTTCACATCAACCCAAAAGATTGAGCACTACATAGTACCCTACTCCATGACTAGACAAGACCCCCAACTCCAAACGCATCAAGAAAATGAATATACTCATACAACGACATCATGTGATGTATCCATCTAAAGTGTGTCCCGTCGTGTAACAATGCAATGCGGGTCCATGCATCTAGATCTAGTACTGTGTCTCAATATCACTTACCTTAGTCTTCCTCTCTACACACTCCTCGCAGGAAAGCGTTGGTTTATTCCTCTTCTGCTTCTTCTTTGCAGGTTCCGAACCCGTCACAGAGCCGTCTTCGTGCTTCACGACGGTAGGCGAGCCAGCCAATGTACTCTCGGTGGTGGCAGGAGAGATCACAGCATAAACCGGGGTTGATGGTCCACCGAATTGATTCATGTTCATGTGGCAGAGCGCAGAGCGGCCTGTGCAAGGAATAAGGAAGGAATCGTGGCCGTGGCCGTGGCCATGGACGATCGATGGTTGATGGAAATAATCTCGACTGCGGGAATATGGATCTTGAAAGCTGTCAGATGGATGAAGTGCGGGGATTTGACGTTCAGTTTCGCCACTAGTCCCGCTTGTTGGAGCTGGTCCTCGGCAACTGCACACGTGATAGAGTATGTCGGCGACATTATTGGTAGGTCTGTTTTTGGTAGCTACTCTTTTGGTGCATCACATCGTTGGATCGTGTTCCTGTCCTCTTGAATAGAAATCAAGCCTAGACAGTCTCTACAGCTTGTAAGTTCGCTACCCCTGAGTCACATGACCCCTCCCCTTTCCATACGAGGTTGCGTTTCGCTTTCCTCCATTGATGTAACAATTAGACTTCTCTCCTTTCAATCGGCTTATAAATCAAAGTCTCTAAATCAAAAGCACAAATGTGTCGGAATTTATACCCCTTTCTTTTTTGCCGATACTAAAGTGATACGTGCTTCAACGCGTACCTATGCTCTCAGGTTCACTTATAGACTCTGTGACCCCCAACTCATTATTTAGTACCCAAACTTAAGACTTAGGACAATAACCCTTATCATAGCTTTAGGGTACTAAGCTGAGTGCCCGAAAGATAGAAACAAATCCAGACGATGGCAGTATCACGTGTGCAGTAAGTGGGGCTTTGTCGCGTCGCGTCGCGAACTGTTGGGCGCGTTTCCTGCATTTGAATTATCCGTACAGTTAATGGATCGATGGATTCATCACCCCAACTACCTGACCCAGCACTTTTTGATGATTGGGAAGAACAGGTCAATACAATAATAATACCCTCAAGCACAAACTCGGACGATTTCGAAGCCTTGCATCTAATCCACGAGGAATCGATTGCTCGGAAGAACAAGGCCGGGGAAGTGATACAACATAGAAGGTGGGCATTGGCAGAAACTTTTCGAAGTGAAGCGGATTATATCGACGGTATTGAATCATTCGTTGCAAATCACTTGATTTCATCTAAATTCTAGCCAGAAACCCCGTTACGATCGAAATCAACCCAGAACCTCCTCGCCCCTCCTTCCTCACCTCCAAATCTCGAGATGCTCTCCGCTTCTTCACCAGTATCGTACCCTCCAAATTCCTCTCCGCCAGTCCCGAAACGAGCGCGTCCGCAGCCAAAGGACCTCGGCAGGACAAAGAAAGTGGGCGGCTTTTTGATCGAGGAAGAATCAGATGAAGATGACGAGTTCGCGCGCGCGGAGCCTGCTCCGAAGCGAAGAATGTTGGATGGCTCAAGATCCCCTGCCCCAGGAGCAGTTCAAAAACTAGCCGGAGAAGAACCCATACATGAAAGGCCGGCCAGTGGAAATTCTACACCAATAGTTGTCCAAGATGGCGAGCCGTCCGTTTCGCAGGCAAACGAAGGACAGAATTCTACCAATCTGTTTGCAGGCCCTGTCGAAGAGCCTGAAGCGGCAGTCGAGATTTCTGCAATACCATCATTCCTCAGCAGAATCGCACCAAAACGTGCAGATATAGTGACCTGTTCGGGGCAGTCTGTGACTGTGCAACCAAGACGGAAAGCTGCCCCTATTTCATTCGAACGGCTGGTAGCAGCAAGATCTACAACCAAAGCTGGACGTGCAAAGAAAAGCTATTATGGCATCGACATTCATAATTTGATTAGTGAAGCCGCCAAACAGACCGAAAAGGATAAGTCAAGGAAAGCAGAAGTTTCAGGGGAGGTTTTGCCTTCGGTCGAAAATCTCGCAACCAAATCCAAACCACCTCGAAGGACTCTGATGTGGACGGAGAAATACCGAGCAAGGCACTTTATGGAGCTTGTAGGAGACGATCGAACACATCGCCAAGTCCTGAGATGGCTAAAGGCATGGGATCCTCTTGTTTTCCCAAAGGCTGGCAAGGCAAAAGTCGTGGCTCCTAAACGTCCTGGGGCTGAAGTTGATGAGGAAAAGGCCCACAAAAAGATCCTGCTCCTGACTGGGCCTCCTGGTCTTGGAAAGACTACATTGGCACATGTATGTGCAAGACAAGCTGGTTACGAGATTATGGAGATCAACGCCAGCGATGAGAGGAGCCGAGACGTAGTAAAAGGGAGGATAAGAACTAGCGTTGGCACCGAGAGTGTCAAAACTGGCTCTACCGTGACGTCGAAGACAGGGCATGTTCAAAAGGTTGCCCATCCCCTTTGCGTCGTGGTTGATGAAGTGGACGGTGTGGTTGGAGGGGCTGGAGGTTCTGGAGAAGGCGGATTCGTCAAGGCATTGATCGATCTTATTCAGTTGGACCAGAAGAACTCCTCGGCTTTGCCTAATTTAGGATACGCTCGAAAGAAGAAGAAAGGTGATGATTTCAGACTGATGCGGCCACTGATCCTAATTTGCAACGATGTCTATCATCCGTCTTTGAAACCTCTACGTCACTCGAACTTGGCTGAAATCATTCATGTCCGAAAACCTCCTTTGGATGCTGTTGTAGCTCGCATGAAGTCCGTGTTTGAGAAAGAGGGGGTTTCCTGCGACAATGATGCGGTACGGAGACTATGTGAAGCAACTTGGGGGGTAAGTCCAACAGAATCTCGAAAAGGGCGAGAGGGTACTGGAGAAGGCGACTTAAGGGGGATTATGGTTGTTGGAGAGTGGGCAGCAGGAAAGCTAAAGGCATCAACCAAGGACGGCAAAGCACGATTAACGAGGAAATGGGTTGAGCAAAACATGACTAACGATTTGTCACACGGTGGAGGTGGAGCACGAGGAGTTGGACGGGGCGGGACAAAAGATGTTGTCAACAGAGTATTCCTCGAGGGTGCTGGCTTTCCTAAGACAATGGCTATGAATGCAGCTCCCACTCTGTCCGACGACCAGCCGAAAACACAGCTTGGCGTCGCAGAGCTAGCGAAGAGGGCTGGTATGGATCGGCTGAGGGAGATGGTAGATACAAGCGGTGAGATTGACCGCATTGTTACCGAAATCTTCGCCCAGTATCCAAGTCAGCCTTTCAACGATGACTCGATACTATCCAAACCCGATGCAGCTTATGAGTGGCTGCATTTCCACGACACATGCTCCCATCGAGTGTATGCGGATCAAGCATTTGAATTGCTTCCATACCTCAGTCAGCCGGTCCTAGCCTGTCATCACCTTTTCTCGTCTCCCGCGAGGCATTATTTTGGTGCCACAAACGACAAGAAATGGGGAGAGGAAGAAGAGGATGAAGAAGTTCTTCCCTTCTCTGGACCAAGAGCCGACTACGAGGCCTTTGAGGCAGAGAAGTCAAACCGAGCCATTGTCCTCGCTCTGCAAGCTAGCCTCAATGCTCCGCTTTTGAGGAGCTTCAGAAGTCCAGAAGATATTGCCACTGATCTCCTGCCCTATCTCGTCCGGATGCTGACTCCAGAGATCAAACCCATTATTGTGGGTGGGAGTGGGGATCAGAAAGGGATTGCAAGTGTACGAAAAGAGTCGGAGAAAGCAATGGTCAGGCGGGCTGTGGATACTATGGGTGGCGTGGGAGTGATCTTCGAGCGTGGCAAGCTGGAAGGCGACTTCACCAACAGAGCGACCCAATGGGTCTATCGAATGGAGCCGTAGGTCGTCTCTTTTCTCCAATTAAATCTTACTAATATTTTCTAGGCCTCTGGATGCATTGATCACATTCGAAACAGCCCCAGTTCTTGCCAGTGCACCAGCCCCAGTCCGTTACGCCGTCCGCCAAGTTCTCGACCAAGAATATCAAAAGAACATAATCGTCCGCGAAAATGCGTTCCGGCAAGCTAGATATCGGGCCGGAAATCCCAACGACGATGTCGATTTTTCATTTCCAGAAAATAAGAAGGAGAATAAGGATCGTCACCTCGAGGAGCGGATTCTGGGCCCGACGAAAGACTTCTTCGGGAGGATAGTCAAGGAAGATGCGATGCCACTGCAAGAGATTGACGGAAATGCGGAGTCTGAAAGGAAGACGAAGAAGGGGCAGACGGGAAAGAGCGACAACAAAGTTTGGGTAAGTTATCATGAGGGATTCTCGAATGCTGTCAGGAAACCGATTACGATTGATGAGCTACTCCGGGGTCTATAAGTACATAGCCTGAGGGTTAATAAACGTTCTGTACATTTGTTCAACTTTGCATCCGCCGGGGATCGTTCCTCGCATCCAATTTATATGGTAGATTTCGAGTAGACATTCTGAATAGCGGGAGAGTTCTTAAGTTGAGCATAACATTTGACCATTGTCTCGCAAGTTTGCGAGACCCGTAAACCGCTTTGATCTTGCTCAAAACTGTTTGCTATTTTGATTGTTCCTGGCCAACGGATAGTTCCTTACCTTCGTATGGAGCTCCCGAAGGTTGTTGCTCATCGCCCCTGCCATTCATGCCTACCATCCATGTCTTCCCTTCATAAAATTGGCAATAGTACGGTATCTTTTCAACGTCTGATGTTTAGGCTATGCCAAGCATCTGTTTCTATGTGTTAATCTTCCACCTATTCTATAGTAAATACTCCTGGGATTTTCCCAGAGCCATATACCTTGATGTACGGAGCAGGAGTTTGTCCGAGTATATCCTTAGCCAGCGGCGACATATTTTTCGACCTGATTAGTCCTCCGATAATCCGATGGACCAACTGCCATTGGGTAGGGTGGTGCGAGGGATGCTCCTGGCCCCATTAAGTCTCGAATGCCCTACATATAAGCTTTGGCTTTGATATTATTAGTGTTACCGTGAGCCCCTTTACAAATCAGACCTCGCTAAATTTTCGGCTTTTTTTCGCGCTTTCATGGGCCTATCGAAACAAACCTTTGCATATAATATCAAGCTCAAATTCTTGACCTATGATCGAGCTCCTATCGTGTAGTGTTACAAGGATAATAGACGTCAGTGTGTCGCTCGTGGAATTACTTAATATGGCGTTTTCTAAAATTGGAATCCCGATGAGATACCACAGTAGAGGTACAAACCTCCATATTGCAAGTCGACGTTTGACTTATCCTAAAGTACATCTACTGAGAATCCAAAACCCAATGCAGTAGTGCTCTGTAGCTATTGAATAATTATTGTTTTTCCTGAGAACTAGCTATGGCTAACACCGTTTCCCAAAAGCAGCATTCTTCCCAAAGCGGACGCGTCTATGTTATTTCCCTCGTAGCAATACGCATATACGAGATTAAGACCGCAGTTCGGGGTTGTATTATCCCGTGCTTTGATATACAGAAACAATATAAGGCAAGTCTTGTACTCCCTCCAGTTCATGTTTGTGCCTCATCTGCTCCGACCGTCGACTTGATTAACTATTAATAATCACTGAGACTTCTTGCCTTTCGATATAACTTCACCTTCAAATAGCCAGCCACAGCTACAAAGAATCTCGCTGAATATTTACTTTCGTGACCTCGCTAAATTCCTTGGTGGTCTTGCAACAGTCTTCTTGGTTATCATTATAACAACGAACTGTTATCCGAGAGACAATATACAACAACATGATATCTCTACTTATTCGAGTTTACACATCCTTCGTCCCGCCGACACCCGAGAAGAAAAGTGATGCTGTCAGATTAGGCATCTTAGGAACCGCGCAAACTGCGTAAGTGCCCCTGACTGTAACCTTCTTAGTATATTATTAACATTGCATAGCCCCCTATCGCTGGTCCTGCCAGCGAAGTCGCATCCTGAAGTCGTTTTGCAAGCTGTCGCTGCGAGAGATCGTACTCGTGCCGAAGCATTCGCAAAGAAGCATGGGATCCCCGATGTCAGAGACACATATCAGGGCTAGTTATAACACCTTAGGAATTTATAGATCAGTGAGAGCTAATTATCTGCAGACATTCTTGACGACCCAAAAATCGATGCCGTTTACATCCCACTGCCTAACAGTCTGCATATGGAGTGGGCTGTCCGCTCCATCCGCGCTGGCAAGCATGTCTTACTCGAGAAACCATCTGTCAGCACCGCAGCCGAAGCCGAGATCCTTTTCAGCATGCCGGAACTGTCTTTACCCAATGCCCCTGTCTTGCTCGAAGGCTTCCACAACCGCTTTCACCCTGCCATTCACCTCTTCAAATCTTTCATCACCCCCGCCGACGTCGTACACGTGCATACTGAAGCCATGGTGCCGTGGCTAATGGTCAACAAGGATAGCATCGGACTCAACTACAGTCTCGGTGGTGGGTGTATGATGATGTTAGGGACATACAACTTTACCATCCTGCGCATGATCTTTAACGCGGCGCCAGAAGAATGTCTAGCCTGCGACACCCATGTTCACGCTGATGGCATTCACGACAAGTGCGATTATGACTTTACAGCCACATTTCGCTTTCCCAATGGCGGCATCGGCGAGGGTACGAATACGTTCCAGGGCCCCCTTATCTGGAAGCCCTCCACGGCCAGAGTGACGCACAAAGAGACAGTAGTTCTTGACAAATTGCTCCCAGCGACCGAGGAGAAGATGCTCACGCGAGAGGTAACGCTGCACGGCTTCATGAATGCCGTTATCTGGCATCGCATCGACGTGAAGGACTCTTTTGTGATCCGCTCCAAGGTGGATGGCAAGCCTATCAGGAAATGGGTCGAATCGAAGTCGCACAAGGCCTACACCTACAAGGAAGCCGGTGGCGAGTTCGCAGACCTGCCAGGTGAGGACTGGTGGATGTCATTTCGCTACGAGCTGGAGGAGTTTGTAAATAAGGTCAAGGGCCGCAAGACACAGTTCTGGATCCCTGGGGAGGTAGGCGCTGTCTTATCCTAAAATTCTGATATCATATATAAGAGCTGAGGAGCTAAGAGATGTGACAGCTCCCAAGCCCCACAACTCTTTCTAAGCACCCTTTCGCCATGCTAATTCGTCGATTAGGACTCCATTGCGGGAATGAAGATGCTAGATATGGCATATGAGAAGAGCGGCTTGGGACTGCGACCGACCAGTACATTCCGCTAACTTAAGGCGAGACAGGGAAGAAGAACGTAAATATTCTGTGTTCTGAGAAACGCTCACATTGTAAAGATATCTTCTTTGGCGTGTGGAAGACACCGCTGAAAAAATAGGACTTTTCATCTGGTCACTTGACCCTCCTTACATAAGCTATAGTAGCTTTAACAATGACGACGGGTATTGACGTTTTTTGGGGCTGCGTTAGATGTGCATTCCCGCTCTCAAATAAACCAAGGGCCCATACCTTTCTAACACAACGCGGAGGAATTAAGATTCTGAATATATCCTTGAAGTCATCGTTTGGAAACAATACGAGCCTCGAGATATATATCTCATTGTTCGTTTATGACTTAGCATCCACCAAAACCATTTGCTCTCTGAAAAGAGCCGCTTCTCGATTCATGTCCTCTGCAGATCTTGGTTTTCTATCCGCATCCTCGATTCTTGGAAACTTTCCATGCTGTGTAGGCCGACTTTGATCCCACAGTCCACCTCCCACGTTGCCTTCCTCACTCTCTAACCTATCGTATATTCCGTCGCCTTCATCCGAGCCCTTGGTGCGTGGGATGATATGGCAATGAACATGAGCAACGGTCTGGCCGGCCCATTTGCCGTCCTGGATTGTGATATTGAAGCTCCCATCTTCCACCTTGCCAGCAGCGCCGTCAGCCCCGAAGTAATTGCTGGCTAACATCTTCTGAACTTTCTGCACTGTCGTGAACAGGTCCGTGACTTCATCTTGAGAGAGGTCTGTGAGACGCTGGGCTGGTCGATATGGAATGACTAGCACATGACCTGGGAGCACGGGTTTGATATTGACCAAAGCGTAGCAAAGTGGCGCTTTATAGAAGACCTATGAAACATTAGTATGATGAAATGTGAAACTAACATGCAAACCCAGACATTAGATTACCTGGTCAGTGACTTCGAAAGGTCCAAAATGAATGAGATTTTTGGAACTCATGGCCCGGATATGGCGAGACAGAAATACCGGATGCGAGATGAAGGGGCGCAAGACCATGTCCCCAGAGTCTAGGTAATGTGTCTCTAGAATGAGAGAAGTAGGCAAGGTTGAAAAGACGTTTGAGGAAGATGATGTGATGACATTTGGATATTTTGCCTCAGGCAACGAACGGTGGGCGGGTATGTTTTGAAACACTTTAGACGACAACCTTCATCTCTCTTTCATCTACTCGAGGAAAGCCTCGTTACATACAAGCATTTTCAAGGTTATTCCTCCGCCAACCAGGGAAGAAGCGAGATCATTTGCTCAAGTAGTCTTACGGAACGTCGGATCCCGGCCACAATGGGAGCCTCAATTGGGCCTTGTAGTGGGGCAATGAGAGCGGACAAACATCTCTCAAGGAGTCTTATGAAGTTTCCATATAATATACCATCCCTTCCTTTTATTTTCCTTTTCTTGTCTTCGTCCACTTCTATCGTTCATTCGCTTCGTAGCTATTCTTTTCTTCTACATCTACCTTCAACCATCGAAGCGCAGGTCCGCTTTGATTATTCTTTTACAAGACAATCTTCAAGTGGAACTCCGCTCCACAACTGCCTAACAATGTTTAGATATCTGTCTTTATTTGTTTTTGCTAGGCTAGCTTTGGGTGGCGCAATCCTATGGGATGGTCGATTCAACGATATGACCTCAAGTTCGGAATTGGATAGCTGGTCATGGAGCAACCAAGTCGGGCCATATCAATACTATATTGTGAGTACATCTGCCCATTTTTATCGACTCATTTTCTCAAAGCTTCAAAGCATGGTTCTGAGAACGCCACCTCCTATGTCAACTTAGATCCGGCATTCAAAAACCCAGCGGACACTGTCAGCACACAGGGAGTCAAAATTACCCTAGACAGCACATCCTACTGGGAAGGCCAAACCATGAGACGGACTGAACTCATTCCCCAGACCAGCGCAGCAATCAACAGTGGCAAGGTTTATTACCACTTCAGTCTGCAGCGTACAGATACAAATGCACCAAGCGAGTTCCGTGAGCACCAGATTGCCTTCTTCGAAAGCCACTTTACCGAGATGAAGTCAGGGTGGCAGAGTGGTGCTTCTGGGACTAGCGACCCGCTTTTGCGGTGGGATGTCTCCTCATCGACTGAATGGAATACGACATGGGAGGCTGGTGTCTGGCACAATATTGCTTACGGAATCGATTTCTCTGCGGGATCTGTGGAGTTCTACCACTCTACCGGTGCGGATGACCTAGTCCTTACACACTCAGCAGTCACTGTTTCTGCCTCTTCCAATGGAAAGGACTGGCATCTTGGTGTCCTGGAGCTTCCCCGTGATGGATATGCTGATGCGACTGAAGATATATATTTCAGTGGCGTCTATGTGGAGAGTGGGGATCTGACAACTAGTGTCTCTGGGGGTGCTGCCAATAGCTCTTCTACTTCATCTTCATCTTCGTCTTCAATCGACATTGGAACAGTAACGACTTTGTCGACAGCAGTGGCATCCGCTGCTTCCTCTACTACGGCAAGCATTGCGCCGATCATAACTTCTTCTGCTATAGAAGCTGCTGCTACCCCAACACCATCTGAGCCTGAGGATGATAATGACGATGACTGCGAATAAGCTTCTTTCGACCTCATCATTGCATCGAATGCGTTCTGGGAGATTCTACGAAGCGCATCAACCCTTCTTGTATATATTTTGTGGAAGATTCTACACCCTCGAATTTTCTATATAACCTGTAAATAGATTTTGCAACACCGGATAAGCTGCGATTCTGACGCCTTCCTTGGATAAGTGCCACTGTTTCCATACTCAAATTTTTAAAAAGGCCAATGTCTTTATTTCTTCATTTACTTTCAATGGCTACCAAGTCAATTATTCGTGGACAGCCGTTGCTTCAGTCTTATCCTTAACAATCTTCTTAACGGCAGATCTTTCCATAAGACGCTTGTTCCACGCAAAGTAGTTGGGGTAATTCTTCTCCAGCTCAAGACTACCAGTATCATCGCCGAATATGAAGGGCAGCATGAGGTCCCAGGTGACGAAAGACAGATCAGCGATCGTGCTATATATCACGTTGTTAGCAAAAAACGGTTCCTCCTCCCCTTTCCAGACAGGATGCACATACCACTTGTTACCAACCAGCCACTGCTTCCCCTCCAACGCCTTGTCCAACACATAAAACACCCTCTTGACTTGATCATGGTACCTCTTCTTCGCACTAGGAAGCGATTCCTCATGGAATCTCGTAAACCATACCGCTTGTCCGAAATATGGGCCTTGGCCACTCATCTGGAAATGCAACCATTGGGAAACATAGAAGCGCTCTGGAGATGAGGTGTAGGTGAGAGTTGCTGTGGTGTCGTAGGTCTGTACGAGGTATTCGATGATGGCGCCGGATTCCCAGAGTGTGATACCAGTATTCGGGTCTTCGATGACGGGGACGCGGCCGTTGGGGTTGAGGGTTTCGAAGGGTGGTTTCTTCATATCGGCCATGTCTGATGCTTGGTTAGTGGGGTAGGTCGTCGGCGCGGGAAAGTGGAGGGTTCACTGATGAACTTTGTAGTATAGGGAACCTTGAGCTCCTCGAGGATGATGGCAACCTTCCATGGGTTTGGGCCAGTAGCTGACAAGGGATATCAATGAGAATACCAAAGAAGAGGATCTGGAAGCCTTTTTGCCCACGAACCGTGACTGTAGAGGACAATTGGCTTGCTCATTGTCACTGTAAATATATATATATATATATATTATCGTTTTTTTCGTTT